TAAATCATGAAGATTCGCCGATACAAAGATTGATAGTTTACTGAACGAGAACACAAGTGGGGACAATCAAATGTATTTGAATATACAGTTACAGAATATCTTATTAAACTCTGAGAATCATACAGTAAATACTTCATTCGCAAAATGTCAATAAATCGTCTTAGACTTCATTGTTCTTTCGTTTCCGCATCAGTCATTCTTTGTTTTCGTTCTCTTTTCTTTGATCTTCCTAATCTTGTGCCTCCAGGCATTTCATTTCGATTGATGATACATACGACTTATATCTGTCGACATCCGTAGCACACGACACAATAATGCATTTCAATACGCAATGACGACTCTCTAAGAAATCCAAACATCAACTAATTGCTTTTTTATCTGGAGTCTACAATATGATATTCTGATCGAGAATATCTCGATTATCAGGCCAGTTGTAAGAATTCGAATTAAATGTCATTCATGCGCTAAAGATAAGAAATAATATATTTTCTACTAACACCACTTTTAGGACTTTACTGTCTAGTCTCAAATAAGTGGAAGATAATTTCTTAAGTCTTAACACAGCTAGCTTCTTATTTAAATCCATAAAAGGAAATAATATAAATCACTAGTAAAATGAAAATAATGTTGATATAATACTTGGGGCATAAATTACAGTAAACTTACACAAAGTGAGTCATGTTAAATGCTGTAGACAATTATTCGTCTAAATTCACATGATATTGTTTCTTTGAATCTTCCCATTGATGTTTAGGACTGCAGTTGGCCACTCTCTTGTTAGCATATGTGCATATTGTGCGCATTGCCTCGATATAGCCTTAATTTAAAAGCACTAAAAACAAAGATGGATAGTGGCTAGCAGTGGAATCCACAAAACGCATTTCCTCCTATTTTGGACTCGTCAGCTGGATGTACCTGTATCTCAAAGTTGATGTTCACTCTGGGACTCGAACCCAGTACGTTTCGCTTAGAATGCCATCACGTTATCCACTCAGCTACTGAGTTCTGATAGCCACTTGCTTGTGCAATGCGGTGAAGTTTAAATTCATTTAGTATTGTTCGTTTGAATCTTCCCATTGATATTCATTCATTTAGTCTAAATAAAATGAAGAATTTTGCTCTAATTTGTTGATAATAAGAACAAGTTTTAAAGTATGTAATTATTGATTAAGGAGTTATGAACTCACTCTATAATAACTCCCAACAATCGAAAAGTTTCTTTTGTATTGCAAATTTTAATTCCAAACAATAGTTCTTGTTTTGAGTTTGTGCGTGTGTAAATGGCTATTGAAAAATACCAGTATTGTTTGGTAAACGACAGAGTGAAACCAACTAAATTTACGACAGAACTTCCTACATGTGTTGTGTTTAGCTGTCAGAGGCTATTACAAAAACTCTTAATCAACTCTTTCTACTATAATTGAATCATTTGTTTATGTCGATGATTTTTATTTAATTTGTTCGTTTGTTTACCATGCACTTAGTTTATCAAGAATTTCAACTTCCAGTAAACATCCGCTAGGAAGGTGCAACCATCAGTTTAAACTAACGATATTATAAACTGCTAATATACAGTTAATTATTGGTTAATTAGTGTTTTTCTGTCTATAATAAAATCGTCCTAAAGTTGAGCTAAATCCCTCTTTCTTTAATTATAACACATTTATCCACTACAACTACATTATTGTTGTAAATTAGATAATTCATTCATTCCCTGACTGTCTATCTATTTAAAAAATCTAAACCGTTTGCACAAAGTTACGGAAGTATTCAGATCGTTGTTCTTCTGAAGTTCGTTTATGGTGACAAAACAGGCAGTGGATTCAATTTATAAAAAAATATTATCATTTTATTCAGATTCTTCCTACTATAGAAACATTTTAATGATAAAACGTAAAGGTTGAATATCAACTTTTAACCGTATAACTATGAGAATGTGTTCAAGTTTATTAGTTTTATAGTAATCAATAGCAAAAACACAATGAAAACTAGTAGATTATCATTTGTGAGTGGTTTATGAGACCTTCCTGGATTTCAATACACATTTCTTGTTACTTTAACTTGATGTTTATGTATATTTTCTATTCCAGTTTATGTTTTCTTAACAACGAAATTGAACCAATACTGAAATGTAGCATTTTATGACCACACACTCACATAGTGCATAATAATAAGTTATCGTTTGAATCAATCTTGACTGCTCTCTCTCTCTATACATAATCTGTGCTGATGGCTGAAAGCACAATTGTAGCTTCATATTTGTTTCGTAATATAAATCATTGACATGAAGAATGCATGACCTTTATTAACATTTATATTTCCTAAAATAATAATGTTAATATGTCAGTATAAGTTTTGTTGAAACGGTTATAAAAGTGAACATCAGATTTGCTAAATAAATATATATACTTTATGATTCGGAAAACATTGATTTTCAGCTGAAGGGAGTAATGATTCTATGTGTAACATAGAAAATAGATTCTACAAAAACTTATTGTCATTGAAACAGATAGGAGAAATCAATTGCTACCATAGCAACCTTAGTTTTGAAGTACATACTTACTTACGCCTGTTACTCCCAATGGAGCATAGGCCGCCGACCAGCATTCTCCAACCCACTTTGTCCTGAGCCTTCTTTTCTATTTCTGTCCATTTTTTGTTCATTCTTCTCATGTCTGTCTCTATTTCTCAGCGTTATGTGTTCTTTGGTCTTCCTCTTCTCCTTTGGCCTTCAGGATTCCATGTGAGGGCTTGTCTTGTGACACAATTGGGTGGTTTCCTCAAAGTGTGCCTAACCCTCGTCCAGCGCTTCTTCCTGATTTCTTCCTCTACTGGAATCTGGTTTGTTGTCTTCCACAGTAACTTGTTGCTGATAGTGTCTGGCCAACGGATCCGAAGTAACTTGCGTAGACAACTGTTAATAAACACTTGTATCTTCTGGATGACGGCTTTTGTAGTTCTCCACGTCTCCGCCCCATACAGTAGTTTTGAAGTACTCAATCTTATTTCATTGAGAGACAATTTCTACATAAATCCTATTATCATGTAGTATAATTTGATCATAAATGATGTATATACTTAACATTAACATGATTCCTTAGTCACTCATATTGCTCCATAAAGTTTAGTAATTTCAATTGGATATGAAAAGGTTCTAAAATATAATAAACAATAACTTATTGATATATTGACCTATAAATTTGTCTTTGATATAATTCAGAGAGTACAAGTTCTCTTAAATAGAAATTTTGTATTGTATTATGACCACTTGAAATCAACAGTTGCTTACTTAACTCATCAAATATATACAGTCTGTAATTAATTTTGTTTAAATTATACACAGAAGTTCACATGTTATATACACTCTAATATATTTTTTCCCGGCAAATATACTCACTCTTATTATACACTGACAAACAATGAAGTTTCATGTATTTATTCAGTAATTAGCTGTAGAACAGAGGTAGAGCTTCAGAATTTAGTCACAATTAGCTAAAACAACTAAAGAATTTTAACGTCATTAATTTATCAACAGTGAAACTTAGAACACTTATTACACACTAAGAAAGTTTGTTATTAAAATCTGTACTGTTTTTCACTTGTTTGCTCGTAGAGTGTAATCAGTCATCCTTCAAAGTAAATTGTGCAAGTGTCAGCGTAATATTTAACACCTAAAGTTAATATACAGTCAAGATTGTATGACGGAACTTAAGCGTTCGATTTGAAATTATGATTGCCGCTGACTTAGTAACAGACTTTGAAATAAGAGAAGACTGTAATTGACATCCTGTGGGACGTTAATCTGAACTGTAAAGAGTATATTTATGAATGTTTGTAGTTGTTGATCTTAAGAATCGGAATTGGTTCACCTCTATTTGCATATGGAAATCCTGGAAGAATCACCTTGTCATTGCCATTTCGCCACATTTTCATGGTAAATTCGGATACTAAAGCTAACAATTCGAGTATACGTTTTTTTTTGTCTTATTAACACACTTTGAGATAGATAAACGAAAAATACAAACCCCTACAAATAAACGCATACATGTTAAGTATTTTAGTAGCTTCCTGGGATCAACAGCTCACTAGATGATGTTTTGAGGTTGGAAGGGATAGGTGCTGGTCTTCAGTCTCGGTATAAATATTAACACTGGAATGAAGGTACTTTTGGGTGACAAAATATACTTCATGTACTTTATTTCCAGTTACAATCTAGCTTAATCGAAATTTGTGAAGAATATAGTTGCATTCAGAGTGAGTTAACTAGAATTATTTACAAGGCCAAAGAAATTCAGTTGGTTGGTAAATTAATTCAAAATCACTCTTCAGATTTCAATTTCACTTCACCAAAATACTACCTACATAACGTTTTACATATAACAATAGTTTCTGAGTTCACTAAAGTATTCCGAGGTTAAGTAGGTGAAATCTGACGGTAATTAACAGTTCATTCGACAGCCATGGTTTTCTGACCTACTTACTGTTTCAAAAATAAATCATTTACTGACTATGATTTTATTTTCTTCAGTTTTAATATCAATAATGATTTATCTTCAAAAATAATCGGACATCCGATGTTAAATGGATTCAGAGAATACACATAAATTCTAGGTATTAGTTTTCTATTCACTGGGTTCAAAAATGTTAGTTGTAATTTTTTTGACAGTAGTTATGTTTGATGCTGTTCTGGAACTCAAATGGTTGCTTGCAAGTTTATACATGTGTCAAGCTCTAACTAGTGGTCAATTTCAATTATGCAATATAAAAACACATTCACTTTAATGTCAAGTCACTTAGTCTGTAAGTTATACTGCAAACTTGATAGACAAAATATGATCGGAATTCCGGATCAGACAAAATATTGTTGATTGTTATTCAGCTCCCAATTTATATAAACCTCCACATCTACACTCTTTTTATAACATTGATCTAAGAATTATTTGGTATTTATATTTTCTAAAACTTTATTATACATTTTTATATTAACTCTTCTTGTTTAGGACAAAGTACCATCAAATCATTCAGATAATGGTTTTCATAAATCTTCAGATCTAAAGTCTATTATACATTACCATCATCAACAACAACAACCTCCTTTAAAATCAATCAATCATCAATTGGCTTCAAATAATCACGAAATTAAATTAGTTATGTGTAATGAAGGACGTACAATGGTAAACAGAAGCGATATGTTTAAATCTCATCAAAATAACTTTTCAAATTCTAATAATCATGTCAATATAAATCAAATGAATAATCAAAATCACAATGGAATATCCGTTAAAAATGATCTTTTGAATACAATGAACATCAAGTTACAAACATCTCATCCAACTACGAAACCTCATAATCAGTTAATGTACAAAACTAATCTTGGTAATAATATAAATAAAAATAATGAGGTATGTTTTTAATGTTTATAAATTTATATTTTATTTTATAGTTGAAATCATTAGTCAATTGAAGCTAGATCACCATGAAAAACCTGGAAGCACTGGACGGCCGTTTCGTCCTGCTGAGGAGACCCATGATAGAACGAAACGACCGTCCAATGCTTCCAGGTTTTCCATGGTGGTCTAGCTTCAATTGATTCATCATTTAAACTATAAAAATACCGAAATCTCCATAAAAGCCCTCTCTGATTTTATTTTATTTTTACTTTAATAAAGAAGAAGCTAGATAGAATTTACTTGTCACAAATATGATTATTCAATATTATCTAAACTGTTTAATCTCACTGCTAATAAAGTTTATTTCCAAAATTATTGAAAAACTTAAGTTATAACATAATTTTATTGACAAAGATGGATAGTGGCTAGCAGTGGAATCCAGGACGCGCTCCTCGTGGCTATCAGGACTCAGTAGCTGAGTGGATAACGTGATGGCGTTTGAAGCGAAAGGTGCCAGGTTCGAGTCCCAGAGTGAACATCAACTCTGAGATACAGGTACATCCAGCTGACGAGTCCAAAATAGGAGGAAATGCGTTTCGTGGATTCCACTGCTAGCCACTATCCATCTTTGTTTTTAGTGCTTTTGAATTAAGGCTATATCGAGGCAATGCGCACAATATGCACATATGCTAACAAGAGAGTGGCCAACTGCAGTCCTAAACATCAATGGGAAGATTCAAACAAACAATATCAAGTGAATAATTTTATTGAGATTAGGAACCAATCTACGTTGAGCAGAAATTACAAACCAGTAATAAGTGGCCATTTGTTTTGTTACAGTATGAAACTCCTGTAAAGTGCAGATTAATGATCACCGCATGGAATCAAACACATAACTTACAGGCATTTCTGTGATAGTTTTTTTAAAGACTACTGAGCTGATGTTCATTGATTTATATGTCTGATTTCAATCAATTCAAAGAATTAAACAACAATATTATGGTATATTCAGTGGGTAACTGCCTCACAAACAACACAGTTGAATTCTATTGTTTACAGCTTCTTACTTGAACTAAGGTACCCTCCACAAAACCTCATAATCATAACTCTTTTATTCATTTTTAATTGTCTTACTGAAATCTCTACATACAGCATTATCTTTAGGTTCAAATTTAACAAACAGTATTAAACAATTTTATGCAATTTGTAACGCACGATGATATTGTACCGTATAAATAGGTCATCATACAAGTACCAACTAAAAATGAAATTCCTTTAGATGTATCAAAAGAACGAATTTCCATCATAATGATAAGGTGTTTGTTAGTATAGGGTTGTGGAGATTATTGAGTCTTGGTAGACATCATGAATCCATCAATGTTAGATCACCATTGAAGAAGTGGAAGCACTGGACAGCTGTTTCGTCCTAGTATGCGACTACTCAACGGTGCGCATCCACAATCACGCACGCAGAACTTGGATCCAAGACCTTCTGTCTGACTTTCAAACAAGTAGTGACATTGATTAAACCGGTTTAAACTGCCGGTTAAGATAGTACCACACACTTATTCATTTTAAACACTAATTTTCATTTTTATTTAAAAGCGTTTCAATAACTCCAGATATTGGAAACTTTTGCTTAATAATATTAGATAGCCTAGAAGTCAGTGCTGAGTTTTTGGTTAGTTTAGGAGAAATAGATAGTTTATCTGAATTTACCTTCCTGTTAACTTAAAAAACAAGTACTTTAATGTATCGTTTTGCAAATGATAAGATATTTTCTTTTATTTCTGACTCATTTTTTCCAGTAGCATTACTAATCTCCCTCAATCAATTGTTAGTATAATAATTTCAGAAAAGATGTTAAATACGCTCTATCACTTATAATCGATACCTATGAAATGTAGTGAGATTTAAAATACTTTCTTTGCATGGCTCTCTTGCAAAACGCGATTGAACTGTAGTACTCGGAATAAGCCTGGGCAATGTCTGGCTCCTCTGTTAAGTGGGATTGAAGTGTAGTGTTTGGGTTTTCACGTGAAAGTCTGAATAGTGTCCGGTCCTCATGAAAACTAATGTAAAATTACTCTGGCCCACAAGGGTATATTATATAACTGAAGTAAATAACTGATAGTTACTGTTTGATTTACCAATAAAAAACTGAACAACCCACTAGACTGACTATCGAATTGCCATATTTTTATAATAGAAATTTTTAAAAAATACTCAGACTATTTACTTCTTCTAAGAAAAAAATTTATTGTTTCTATGTGTGTTATATGAAATTTCTGAAAGGATCAAATTAACAGTGGGACAGGATCTACCGAAATAGGGTAGCTGTAAATAAATCAGTTGCTGAATAAATATTTACGGAAACCTGTTATCATTTAAATAATGCCGATTAAAAATTATCTAATTTCAATGTTTACATAAATTGATCCTATTTTGTAAATTTTTTTTTGAATGGCTGACGCAATAGCTTTACGGATTAAAGAATAAAAGATTTACACATAAAAAATATATGTTCAACCAAATTCTTTAGTTTGGTTAACTTCAGACGGAGCAAATCTATAGCATTCGTAATTATATGATGGAATAATTTGTACTAATGTACATAAAGTAGTTCGCTTAATGTTTTGGTAGTTAGCGTTATTAAAATGTTATTATTATTATTATTATCACGTACCCTTGTATACTGTTAGTTTTGTAAATATGTTAAAAATTTAATAACCACTTACCTCATCTTATTAGTTCCTACTAAAGGTTAAGCATTCGGTCATGAGGCCGAGGATCCAGAGTTCGAGTCCCACATATGAAATCGTGGATGCACACTTCTGAGGAGTCTCATACTAGGACGAAATGGCCGTTTAGTGCTTACGGTTTTTTAATAGTGATCTGACATCTATCGATTAGTGATCCTAATCAAAATCTTAACAATCTCCACAACCCCATACTGACATATTCATATGATTTTATATACCAAGTAGTATTCAATTAAACATTAGATTATTATTTATTTCTATCTATATTACTTATATTCATTCTGATTATTAAACATACAACTTCAATTGACGTATAGACCTATTCGTGTTACCAATATGTACTAGTTATTTTCAAATAAAAGATTTTATTATAATGGTAACCCTAACTTGGATATTCCTTTTTAAATATAATAACTATGGAACTTAGTGAGAATCAGCTGAAATGAATATCATTTCTTCAACCATCTATATTTTCCTAACTCAAAGAACAGTTCATTTAAACAATTCGATACTAAACTTGACACTTTATATATTGTTTGTTTATATTTTATTTAGCCTGTACATTTTTATCAACCAAATTCAACCAGATATACAATTAATTCTCCTAAAGCAATTGCAAATGGATTTAAAATTTCTCAACCGATTTCATCATCTAATCATATGAATATATCATCATCATTATGTAATACTACAATAAATCATTCTGCTGGATGGGAAATTAATTTAGGTTGTATAAATAATAAATCATTGCCTACACGTTATTTAATTCCTGTAGATTCAAATAAATATCGGTAAGTCCATCTTCTTTTATTATGTATTTTTATGACGATTGTCTCGACCTTAGCTATCAAATCTTTGATCAGTCAATCATAAAAAATGATCATAAGTGAAAAGACGTGACCGACGAAATTCAACTTTATCGTATGTGAGACGGTTATCTACTGAATGTTATAGATTTTCGGTGCGTAATATTGTCATTTAGTTGAAGTGGGATATTAGCTCCATTGGATTGCTGCTCAGTGGTCTACAGGTTAAACGTCAATGCTCAAGGCAGAGGGTACCCTTTGGTGCAATGGGACGTGTCTGTTTCTAGGGTGTCCTATACTTAGACAAAACCGGTCTCCAGTGGTAATCAGAGTAAGATCGGTGGGTGAGTTAAACTATGAAAATACTACAATCTCTACAAAAACCTACACTTATAGGGGATTTTCACGGAAATTCATGTAATTTCTAACCACTGTTCATCACTACCACATAGCTTTGAGTCATTTTTTCTAGATCAGCCTCAAATGTATTATAAAAACCAGTTTGTTTTGAGCATGAACTAACTTGTATTAAACGAGTAAAAGCAATTTCATAGAGGCCATGTAACTTACTTTCAAGCAATTTGGTGCTCATCAGAACAGGATATAGACAATCTCGAGAGAACTATTGATAAATATAAAATTCTTAAGATTCCAGGTACTCTTTGCTGATAACTTCTATCTAACATGAAACCTAGGTACAGGGAGAACAAAATATTGATCATTACTAAGTAACCAACCAATGCGGTGATCTAATTACTTGGGCCTTATAAACTTATATTTTTATCATTCTAATAAGACATGCATTTGGTGTAACAAATCGATATAAAACTTCAAATAAAACTGATCCATCCCGATCTTCTCCGTTTGTGGAAATTTTTAGGAACTTTCTTATTCAAATACATAATCTAAGATCGAAAACAACTTTTTCAAACATTATTATTGGAATGTTTCTCCACTAATGGACATATTCAAACGAAATTAATATTTCAATCAGTGTTTAGCTAATAGAAGAATAAACTTTACATTCTCCTATTTAGACCCAGAGGAATTCATCAACCTTTTTATTTCATTAATGTTGTATACACATAAGAAACTCAAAAACCATTTACTGAACATTACCTTGATTTTGGCTGGAACTTTTGTTGTGTGATGAAGTTGATTCAATTCGATTGTAACATATTATGGCGTTATTTAAGATAAGAATGATTTTGAACGAAACTAAATACAGTCAATAAAACTATAAATATATAGTGATGTAAAGTGATATAAAATGAAGGGTCTTTTGTTCACATTTAAATGTAATAACTGTACTTTGTTTTTAATCAATTTGAAGAAACATTTTTTCCTATAAAATTCTACTAAATTGATTAGATTATAGTTTGTATATATCCATAACAAGATAAGTGTGTGATTTTCAAAAAAATGAGCTATCTGATAGAACTAATTACTGAACTAAGACATATTTTAGTATAAGGATTTCATTGTGATTATTCTAGTTTGTGATTCATCACATCACCAATTGACACTCCGTAGAAATTTCTTTTGAAACCAGGGAGCTTTGGATAGTTATTTCTATCTATTATTACTAAGATACTTCAACCAGTATAGTTAGATCTATGTACTGTATGAGAGAATTATTATCCTTAACTATTGATGATCATCACCAATTAGCTATAAATATCATCCAAATTTTTTTATCGCGATCACTTCAGCAAACCATAAAGCATCCATACTTCTTTGTCTGCTATTAATTTTAAAAGCATGAGAAATATCAATCGTGTGCCCGGTATCAAGTAGATACCGAGCTATTGCACTGTTGAAAGCCCTGGTCCCTCGCAGCCTCAGTTTTTTTGGAACATGCTTAGAAATGCGAACATGTACTATTCTCTCGATTCTTCTAATGTATATGCTTTGGCATGTACATGTAAATTGGTAAATGCAGTTGGAGCTATATATATATATATATATATATCAATTGTGTTGTCTAAAAGTAACTAGCTAAAACCATTCCATGATATAAAATACAAATATAAGCTATTATCTATCTGAATGGTTTAACTAATCATACTAAACGAACGAAAAAATAATTTGGTCTAACAAAATTGATGGATTGTTTTCAATCTTTTAGGAGAGAAAACAAAATATTGTTTTGAATATAACAAGAATTACTAATTTAATAATTAGGGTATAATCTGTTCAGATTGTAATTTAATTGACAGTTACATTTTGGAAAATCTTTTATTGTATCATTGTTATTAATTAGTTAAGAAATTTAATAAACAAAACTAGACTTGACTAAACATTTCTGAACTGAACGTTCTTTTCGTATTCAATTTAGGTTAAATTAATGAATTAAAACATTTGTGTGGTAAATTGTACATTTTATATTATTAGTATGGGATTGATGGAAATCACCAGTGAAAACATGGAAGTACTAAAATCATCATCAATCTCCGTACTAATAATAATCATTTGCTCACTAGGGACTTGCTATAAGTTGGACTTTCTGGAGCTCTAGTGACAAATCGTGGAGTCTGATGCGTATCAGTTGGAGACAGTTGTCCAACTTAGACGACAGATAAAGAGTTGTACAAGATCATTGATCGATTGCAATTAGACATTAACACCGTTGGACGTTTACTCAGTGGTCTAGAGGTTAGGCATTCGAGCGCGAAACCGAAAGACCTGAGTTTGAGTTCTGAGTGAGGTATTGTGTATAAGTATTGCTAAGGAGTCCCGTAATAGAATGAAACGGCTGTTCAGTACTTGCAAGTTCTCAGAGGTGGTCCACCTTAGATCGATTCGTTAATTGAACTATTTTGTATTACTTGCAGATTAACTTGAATATTAACATCAAAATTGATAAAAGCAAACGAAATAAGTAATATAAGTATTGAGTGCAAAAACCCGTAAACAATTAATCCGTTATACATACTTTATTTATGATAACTGACTGAAGTAAATAACTGTAAAGTTTTATGACATTCGATTCAGTTTAATTCTAGTAAAATGACGAAATATGTATAATACTTAATAAAAGGCTAATGGTATAATCACAAAATTATTGTTTGATAACGTGTTGATCATGTTTTCGTCTTCATCAGTGAGAATGACGACCATACGGTCTATTCAATGTTCATAAAATCAGGAAAAAAACAACTAAAACATCAGTTCATCAGAAACCTTAAAAATAAGTCAGTATTCAAACTGACGCGTAAACTATTCCCACTTATTGTCATTAGATGATGTTTATTTTTTATTTTGTTGCTCTATATTACAATAGGCGACCGATACGTGAACCCTTTGATATATCTAGTCAAAATCAATCATTTGCTTTAAATCAGTCTCATATTATACACTATCCTAAAACAATTCCTAATTCATGTTACTTAACAAACAATAACCTCTCATATTACAAATGTCCAAATGAATCAATTCAACAAAGTACCATGATAAGTAAGACAAAAACTAATGATGCAACTGGTATTCATCGTTAAAATCATTCTTTTCATTAATTAGTATCAATCAAGAATATTATGATGGAACGTCATTACTGTTCTTATTATTTAATCATTCAAGTTCGTGGCTGTGTGTACATAATTTAATCTAGATGTTTTCAACTTTAACACAAGAGATAACAAACGAAATATTTTCTTCTTTTCATAACATTTTTAAATAGTATTATATTGAAAATTCTTTCTTTTATTCACTTCCTTCATATTTTGTAAATTCATAAATGTTGCTGTTCTTACCTTTGATCCAAGTTGTTAAATAAATTTTAAATATTATTTTACACTACTGTAATAAAATGAGTAGTTCAATTCTTCTCAAATAATATTTACACTTTTATATCCTACATCGACGAATCTACTTGTGTTTCTTTATCTAATTTGAAAAAAAAAACAATCTCAATATTGTCACCTTTCGCATACATTATAATTTCATTATTGATTTTCTGTTTACTTCGTTTTCGTTATTTTTTCTCTCCTTCTCTCTTTCTCTTTCTTGTAAATTATCCATCGATAATTGTTATCGCGTATCTATCTATCTATCTATCTATCTATCTATCTATCTATCTATCTATCTATCTATCTATCTATCTATCTATCTAGTTGAAATAATAAAAAAGAGTGAAAAACTAGTTTGTTAAAATATATCAATTTATTGTTCATTGAACTTTAATCCAGGATTATTGAAATACAATTTAACCATTGAACTTAAGAGTTTATCAACCAGAATCATTTTTCAACTTATTAACAATAGTCAATAAATTAAATAAATAATAATTGTTTACTTTCATATATATATATATAATTGCTATTTATCAAATATAATATTATACATGAGGCTATCCTTATTTTCTTTGTTTAAAATTTATCATTGTTCACCACATCACAGACAGTTATTGAAATACGACTAAATAATCTAACATATAAGTACTGTTAGTTATTTGAATATATATCACAGAATAACAAAAAGTATACTGGATCATGAAGATTATTGAACTTCCTAGTTTATAGTCAGCTTAGTGATATAAAGCTTGAGCATTGTCTATAAGACTTAAAGGTTCTTGGTTTAATCCCTGGTGTAGCTGTGGGCACGGACTGTTGACGGGTTCAATACTAGGTAAGAAAAGCTATTGTCCAGTGCTTCCTGGTTTTCAACAATATTCAAACTGAAACCAATCTATGAAGAATATAACTTACATGATAAGCAATAAGATCTATTGTTAGATCTGTTATTATAGTACTTCATGAAATCATGCAATCTGAGTAAAAAGTAATAAATTCTAGTTAAGTGAAGAATAGAATGTTCAAATGTATAAGGATAAAATAGTAATTTAAATCAAATGGATTTCGTCCGCGGAAATGCAAAGGAATAGGATACATGTTTATGGTGCATCGGGTCATTCAAAAGCAGAAACGACAAGTGTTTTATTAACTTGAATAATAACAGAGGCTGGAAAGAGATCTAGATCTATTTCTTTTGGAAAGAAAGCTTGGTCTTTCGGATTCATATTGTACTCGCTTCTGTCGTTTTAAAGATTCGAAGAGTGATTATCTTTTGTAAATTACTGTTATTGAAATAGATTATTAAAGATAACTAGAAAAATTTACTTGAATAATTGGTTTGAACCAGGTAGGTTAACATGGAGCTGCTGAAACCACGTCATTTCTTAGTCAATCAGTAAGCTTTTCACAATAACGAAAAGTGAATTCTTAGAACATTTCCAAATGCAACTTAGCAAATGAAACATTAGATATAGAAGGGAATGACTATTCTAAATAATTTGTTTTTCGGATTCGATGTCACCGTAGAATGGGTAAAGCATGTTAGTTGTGGTTTTCTTTAGGTGAAGTTCCTTTAATTTGACCTGTAAAAGTCTTAGACGATTGAAATGCTACTGATTAGCCCTATGCCAGTGCAATTTCTCAGCTTTTTACTGTTTGATTAAAGTAATACTGTTTCCAGTCAATGACTGTTATTTTTTATTAGCTGTTAATAAAAAATAGAACACTGATAGACATCAATGATGCATTATTCACAAAAGCAAATCATTCCAAGTAAACTCATGCTTGTTTTAATAGTATATTACAAGCACGATAGTAGAATAGAAATCTAGTTGCTTGATATAATTTTATTATGTACCAACGAATTTCGTTGTATCAGTAGTTAAATTACTTCTAATCAACTTAATTAATCACTAAATATCAAACGTATAGAGTAAAGAAGTTACTCTTATAGGTTATACAATATGCAACGGTTAGACTAGTTTATGTACATTATGACTTATTAAATTAGATGTGATTGACTTCAAATTGTGTTTTCATAATTAAATCTTAAAATGTTTCATAACAAGCAATATTTTCGGGTTGATTTTCAGCCCATTTTAAAAAAATATTATGACAATATACATTATATACAGTGTAAAATTTGCCCGGAACTCCTTCAGCTGATATTAATGACGGCTTGCGTAACTACTCAAATGTTTAAAGTTAGCCCCTTTGATAAATTTCGATAATGTAATAAGAAGAAGACGAAGATTATCAGAACTGTATGATGATATATTAGCGCAATACATTTCGAACAATCTGATCACAGATGATGTACTTGTTAAGAACATTTATACATAAAAATAAAAGGTCAATTAGACTGGAAATGGGGGGTAAGAGGAGACAAGGATAATAATAATAAAAATAATGTAAAAACAATTTGAAACCTAATCACTCTGGATAATAAGCTAATATTACCAGGGTAGGTTTAAGGTGAGAACGAACTGTTTTTGAATACACAAAGGGGGTTTGAATTTTCGTATGGCTAAGGCTCCAATAAACCTTGACATACGCCCTTTTACACTTTTATACAACAGTGCGAAAGCCGAGTTAATAACAATCTTATGGCCTGTTTCGATTATATGTTTACCAAACATATAAAATCCTCAAATGTTGCCTAACCATTTTATCCTCATTCATAAATGTAATACTCACTTATTCACTCATTAATACTGATCGTTATACCTAATAATTTAATATCTAAGATAAGATAACTTTATTTCAACGTAATGTATTATCATTTTCTAATATTATGGATTCGAATAATAAAATTGACATTCAAATATGTTTGCGAATCTAAGTCATTAATTTTAACGTTTATATTTCTTCAAATTATATCCAAATGATAACCATAAATAATTCAATTAAAATTATTTCATTTTACCGATATCTAATATACTCAGTTTGTTTTAACTGAGTTACATTTCGACGAGACCATAATTTATAGACGAGCCAATCAGAAACGTTTGAGGGATTTCAAGGTCACAGCTCCATTTTCAGTACCTGGTGCTCATGTACGATCAGTTCACAGTGGATTTTTATAGAGAAGACTTGAAAATTAAGCGGCTACAATAAGTGGGACTACTAAGAACTTCCTTTATTTGTGATTGTGGAAATAAATTGACTTGTAGACCTTGCTCAGACTTCCGTGATGATGGTATCTTTCGATGTAATATACGTTGGTAGAAGACGTCTGCTAGAATAGGAATTTTCTTCTCTCGATCCAGAACGAGACTAAGGCAAATTATTATAATTGCTGCGAACTGTATAATAAATGCACCAGTAACATTGTCTGCAATATTCGCAGATGTTACTGAAACGTCGGCTGTTCAGTGGTATGAGTATTGTAGGGGTTTATGCGTAATAAAAATTACAAACGTACAAAATCGGAGTACATACAAACAATATTGAAGCTATGTGGTGGAGGCAGAGAGGGTTTTCGTGACATTATCATGGCTCCAGAGACCGAGAATCATGGAGCCATATGGATGAGTTCCTCTACCTTATGTATTACGATTTTAGAACCTTTGAACCTCTTTCTAACCTTGACAAGTTTTTGGACCATATAAAAGTAATGTATCCACTTTAGTTCTTTGGTTTTATATAAATATATTTTTACCCTATGCTGACTGTTTAGTGATTGGCTAATATTTCTCAAGGTCACTTGAAATTCGTTCAAAGGTCGTCCATAAATTATAGTCTCGTCTATTTTTCAACTTAAACATATGAATTTAACAGTTATTTTGTTGTCCACTAACCTGTTGATGAACATATTTCACACAAAACTACTAATCAAGAATTGAATTACCAAAACATTTAGGAGGATAATGTTAAAACAAAACCTAACAGATTAACCTATAAACTAGACACAATAATGATGGCCTAGATAGTGGATATAAGTAACATGCACACAACTGGTAGATGCTTAGTTCAAGATAAATGCTGATAGAACAAGGAAAAATAATATAATGATTATGATATTGTGGCTCATTGTGCAAAGGTTGCATCAACCCAACAGAAAAACAATAAATAAATAAACTAGCTAGCAATGGACACCAGTTTCGAAACCAGAACGTCTCGTTTCAAACATGAAATAAGTTATCCATTGAGTACTGAGTATGGATGTAGTGAACAGAATACGACTGGGGACAATGGAATTACAGACTACCTCAGTAAATTCTGACAACCATACAAGGAAAAGTCAATTTGCAAATTAACAAGCAATTGCCTCAATCTTCACCGTTTCTTCTCTAATTTCATTGTTCATGCAATTTCCTACCGATTGCGCTTTGTTCCAGTTATTTCCTTATCGGTCTTCTGCCAAAATACATTCTATGTCTGCCCAACACCATATACTACTTATATGGATATAAGTAGGTCACACCACATAGACAGCTACATGCCTGTTTAGCAGTTATAATCTTTATCTCATTATTATGATAGTTTGACTTATCGCTTACTGATATTCAGCACTAAAAAATAAAGTATAATATTTGATAAATTATGAACGTTTTAGACGTCCTGAAATTTTCACAATACGGCCATTGCTGAGAATGCAACTGTAATTATATATATATATATATATATAATGCGATCGAATTTCCATGTACAAGACTCCACTGTAATGTAAAACATCTCCAGAAGACATTTAATGAACAACAATAATCAACCATTCTATGCCCTAATCTTGAGTTTAGTCAAACAAGAACTTATTATGAAGCTCCGGCACCATACATAAGTAGCATCAAATAATAAATGCAAATCTTGTTCAAAGTCAAATTACAAAGATTTTATTCAAGAAAGAATGAGCAGTATGAATATGTTGTTATACAGAATTTGAACAAAAGTTAACAAATAAAGTATGGAGAAAATCCCAGGAAATATCAATACTGTCGAGTAAAACACTTTGAAGGGATTTTCATAGTGTTGATTTTGTTATTATATCATAAAAAATTTTCAGATAAATCTATAGAAATCATCCCCCATTTCCAGCCATAGGAACATGATGAAACCTAGTAGGCCCTTCTGGAGAAGAGTGCTACATCGAAGCACGGCACAACTACCGGGGATCAATAGCTGCTTTTGTATTGCTCACACAAAACCATCACATCATTCTTCCTTTCACTTTTTTTGGGCAGACTAACTTTTTCTTTCTTGTTGAATCAACAATAATTATGCAATGATTCTTTGTAGCAATCGCAACCATTGGTGGGTATAAGTAGAGCGGTTGATTAGGCCGATCTCCACCACCCGTATTACCGCTCGTGTTAGCACATGGGATAAGTTTCATGGTTCAAAAGGCACGACGAGGACGTGTGAGTCGGGTTTTGCCTCCCTACATAAATCGTACCCTAAATTTAATATAATAATCACTTATTTCAATGAATCCAACAATTCAAAAACACAATAGAAATGACTTTTTACAATAAAAATACTGATTGGCTTCAGAAAATTGATTTGAAAATAAATTTCATGATAAATTTTTTTAAATGACATAAATGTTAACACTTTATATT